TTACTCAATATCTGTAGTCTCAAAATCTACCAAATTGTCATCTTCATCTTTTATTGAGTCAAGAGTAAGATAATCTTCAATGGTTTTTGAAGGTTCTTCTATATTGACTTGATCATTAAATACATTTTCTTTAATTTCTTCTTGATCTTCAACAATAGCCTCTTCGACATATTCTTCTTTGACAGAGATATTTTCTTCCTTTTCTTTAGTAGTATGAATAGTTTCATACTTATTTTTTGGTATAGCCCAATCAACAACAATACATCGACCTTTGGATATTTAATAAAACAAAGATAATTAATAATAATACTTGAATTATTTTTTAATATTCATAATATTAATTAAAAAATATCACCATTCTGGTGTAAATATATAAATATTTAAAAATGAGATAAAAATKAAATTAAATATTATAAGTGAGTTAAATACAGAGAAAACATTTATAAGCTTTAGAAATATTTTAAGTACCTAAAACCTAACTTTAACTTTTAATTTTTGGTTATAAAATACCTTTTAGATATCCATAAATGCATAATTAATTACAAAATCTATACTTACCACCAAAGTCTTTGCCACTAGTGTGGGCAATCGCTTTAGCAGCGTTTTGTTTAACAATAAATTGTACAAAACCACAACCAATAAGTTTTCCATCAGGTTTACGTAGAAGTTTAATATCATTTATTTCACCAAATTTGGAGAAATGTTCTTTTAATTGTTCTTCATCTGTCTATAAACAGTATAAACAGTAACATATTATCTCTGGTATTTCATTAAGTATGCTCCAATATTTTCACAAATAAATATATAATGTTAAATTTCACATGATTTCAGGCAAAAATAATTGATTGATCTTGAACACTCACTGTAAACGGAAGATTTCGAATGATAAGTCTCCCACGGCGATTGTTTGGACATTTCGAAGCTTTGTTTTTTGCAAAAAATATTTTATTTTTCATGATTACGTCTCGGTATCGACGRAGTATCAGTTCATTTGCTGAACACTTTTCAAGTTGGGTTGTAGTTGTCACCAAATACTAAAATTTAATTAGTATAATTTACCAAATACTATTTGTTGTCACTAACACTCGTCTCACGTCAGTCGAGAGTGGCACATAGCAGTTTTGCCTGTTTTCAATCCTTAAGCCCACWGATCACTAGTCACTAGTCAGTTAGTACTTTACTACTTAAGTAGTCGAGTCTCGAGTTCACAACGACGACGACAACCGGACAACGCACATGGTACATGTCATAGGAATTATATAGATATTATATCTATATTATGTCTATGGTACAATACATATTATAGTCATGTAGATTATCTGTTGACTTCTGCATCTTTTAGTGATAATGCTTATCATCACTTAACCAACATAAACCATCACAGAACGTTGGTATAAATCAAGGTTTGATAGAAGGTTTGATCGTGTAAGATGGAGAATAAATAACAGGTGCGGGGTAGATAATAAAATGACGTCATAATAGTACAGTTTTAAATATTAAATGCAGCCATACTGGAATATATTATTTAATTTATTATTTTGTATTTATTTATATCAATAACAGAAGATTTGTATTTATTAATTTAAAATATAAAATAGATAATAAAATAT